GCGACAAGGTTTTGTCATCATCACCTGATAATGACAAAACCTTGTCGCAACGTTGTACATTTTCTGTTATGTTAAACTTATATTAAAGTTTTTCTTCATTACCCATTCAAGCCGTCTCCAACCATTATTAGTCTCAAAGTGGGTTCCTCGTCATCGAAATTAAAATGTCATTAAGTTATTACAAATTTACCAGGAGTTTCTAACATTGAATGTGTCTTACATTGTTAATAAGCAAATCAAACCTCTTAATCTTAATTATTAATCTAAACGAATTATAGTAAAAAATAATGTCACTTAGCCATGCTGAATAAAGAAAATTATTGTTGCGTAATTGGATTATTTTTGTTTGTTTGTTTGGAATTAAGCACAAAGCTACACTATGGGCTATCTGTGCTCTGCCCACCACGGATATCGAAAGCCGGTTTCTAGCATTGTAAGTCCGCAGACATATTGCTGTGCCACTGGGGGGCAGGGGTTTTCAAGAAATTTCTAAACTTTGAGATCTGAGCTTCAACTTACCAATCTATACTATCGTGTAATAATTCTCCATTTTCTTGATTTTTGTACTTCTTAGCAGGTTATTTCAATCTTCAGTTCTTAATTTTTTCCTTTTTATTCTTATTCTATCAAATTACAAGTATTTTTTTTCCTTCTTACAATTCACCAGAACACTACATTATTTTGTCCTAACAGTTACTACTCTTTTGGTAACCGCTTTGACAACTTTTTCTAGATTTCTTTAAAGATGATTATAGATTTTCACCCTAGTGTTTCAATGCAAATTTTTTTTCTATAATCTTCATTCCCTGAAATTTTTCTAGGCTGTTTGTTAATTGTTCAGATAACAAGATTCCTTAATGACGCAAGTTCAAACTAATAGTAAGCTTTAAGAAGAAAGTTTTAGGAAACTTCACAACAATGGTAATGCATATTATATAGTTTCAACAACTGTAGAAAGTGGGTATTCTTAGATAATCAATACTTGCGGCATAATTTTTGTAACGGTTGAAATGTGAAAACAACAGTTTCAGATCGCACATTATTCATAGTTAATATGGTTAAAAAAGCGAAAAAGTAACGTACTTAGCGCACAGCGTTTCAACAAACGAATCATTATATGTTGAGTTATGAGAGATGTTTAATTAAAGGATATTTAGTCAACTTTGTTTCATTACAAAACCACATCTAATTTGCTCATTTTATAGTTGTATGCGAGTTTTGCTTGGGGTTTGAAAGAAGGGTTTAACTTTTGTGAGTTTTTTCACGACGTGTAAAGAGATGAGTGAAATCAGCTCTTTTTTTTTCAACATGAAAATAGTTGTAAGCAGATTTTTCCATGAAAATAGAGAACACCTTTTCCGGTAAATTATACATAATCCAAACAGAGTTTGGCTATGACTATGAAATATAACTGAATAAACTATACAGTACTGTGACATGCGTTAGCATAAACTGTAACAAACACCGAGAAGAAATTCAATACATTTTATCTTACCTGAATAAGGAACGAGCAACAATAATGTCTTCTGAGTTCTTCTTCCAGTCTCTGCCGATGTTCTTCAAATCACTATTGTTTTCCTCTTTTATACTTCCAATAAAGATTACGCGCCAACGCTCTAGTTCACATGACTAGAAAGTTTTTTCATTGGCTGTCTACTACAAACCGTAGGCGATGGACTCTGGACAAGACACGCCCTTTGTTGTGACGTATCTCACTGGATGAAAGTAGCGATATTAGCGTATGCCTTTTCTTGAGTTGAGCATACAGTATTAAAAAAGAAAGAAAAATGAACAAATAATATATTAAATGGAAGTTTCGATTCTTTGTTTTTTTATTAACTTACATGGTTAAAAAATCAAAACCGGATGATGGCAGAGAAACAGTCAGTAAATGTACCAACGTTCAAGTCACCTTACGAAGTGACTTCAGAAGAAACTCTTACATGATATGCACTGTATTTAAGTAATTAAAGGTTAAGGTGTCTATATGTTTGTTTTGAATTTCGCGCAAAGCTACACGAGGGCTATCTGCGCTAGCCATCTCTAATTTAGCAGTGTAAGACTATAGGGTAGGCAGCAAGTCATCACCACCCACTGCCAACTCTTGGGCTACTCTTTTATCAACGAACAGTGGGATTGACCGTCACATATAACGCCCCCATGGCTGAAAGGGCGAGCATGTTACAGATTACGTGTCGAGCGCCCTAACCACCTGGCCATGCCGGGCCTATTGTGCTTGTAACTGATGAATCCTATTCTCACTTGATTGTCATCAGGTTCTCCCACTCCGCCAGCGGCTCAGCGGTAATACTAAAGGCTTATAGCACTAAAAACCGAGTTTCGATACCCGTTGTAGGCATAACACAGATAACCCATTGTGCTGCTTTGTGTTTAACAATAAACAAACAAACACCAGTCGACTATAGCTGCGACTTTATCATTTCATCAGCCTTTGATTCACATCCTCCTGTAAATCTGGGCAACTGCAGCATACAAAATATTTTAATTCTGATATAATACCGAGAACATTCGAAACTAAATCTGTACGGACAGAAATCTTAGATTTCAAAACTAACTACAAATTATTCAAGTCATAAGAGTTTACTCGGGATAGAGAATTTTAAATAACCGTATAAATTAGCACTGTTTGTCTAAATATAATGTCCTTTTTCTATACTACCAAGAGTACTTTTCGTACGTTTGTTCCGCTACTCTACTGGGAGACATATATTTACAAAAGTTTTAAATTTCGTGATAAATAACTTAATGATAAAGTCCAGAGACTTCATTGTATCATGTGTATAAATTTTGTGAGGTTTATATAACTCTATCTACACGACTTAGAGCCATTTTTACCAACCAACGTAATTAATATATAGGACTGTTAACATATTACAGCTATTATTCGTATGAACCTAACTTTTACTAATTCAAATATATGATCGAGTCGTTTTTATACTATAATAATTCACTATTTTTTACATAAACTGGTATAAGCAATGTTTTTCACGAGAACGAAATATTATAACTCTAAATCAAGTTGTAACACAGGTTATTGTAGCTTTGTGTCTTTCATCACTACAGGCAAAGGGCTATCTGTCATTAGTAACATTATATATGCGTCTTAAAACTTCATAAGTCAAACGTATCTCTCACTATAATGAATATAAACTTTAGATCAGAGTAAGCTACCAACTTAGAGAAAAACTAAAAATTAACCAGGTAATGAGTATGACTAATTAAATACATTTTCTTATGTTTTTACTTATAAAGATTAGAATGCATTGTTTCATCAGTTGGGTATAATTCGCTTAGCTTTTAACGATATTATCAGCTGTAAGACACAGACTTATATGTCTCATGAATCTCCCATTAAAGAAAGCTCAGTACAATCCCTTTTCTACGGGTAAAGACATAAATCTCATTTCCATAGTAGAAGACGTATCTTCCTCCCCCTCCGTTGACGAACATGTATTTCCTATTCCCGTGGGTAAAGACGTATTTTATACAATAGATAAAGAAATATTTCGTGTTGCAGTAGATAAAGGCCTCCTATACTAGTGGATGAAGAAAGGTCTTCTACAAGAGTATGTAAGGGCAAGTTTCATACTACAATAGATAAAAGTCTTCTATTACAGAAGATAAATATATTATAATACGTTAGATGAAGAAAAGTCTACTACTCCAATAGATGAAGAAACGTTTTCTACTACAGTAGATAGAGATCTCATCCTACAGTAGGTAGAGAAGGATCTCCTACTATAGTAGATAAAGATCTCATCCTACAGTAGGTAGAGAAGGATCTCCTACTATATTAGATAGAGATCTCATCCTACAGTAGGTAGAGAAGGATCTCCTACTATAGTAGATAAAGATCTCATCCTACAGTAGGTAGAGAAGGATCTCCCGCTATAGTAGATAAAGATCTCATCCTACAGTAGGTAGAGAAGGATCTCCTACTATAGTAGATAAAGATCTCATCCTACAGTAGGTAGAGAAGGATCTCCTACTATAGTAGATAGAGATTTCATCCCACAGTAGGTAGAGAAGGATTTCCTACTATAGTAGATAGAGATCTCATCCTACAGTAGGTAGAGAAGGATCTCCTGCTATAGTAGATAAAGATCTCATCCTACAGTAGGTAGAGAAGGATTTCGTACTATAGTAGATAGAGATCTCATCCAACAGTAGGTAGAGAAGGATCTCCTACTATAGTAGATAAAGATCTTCTACTATAGTAGATAGATATCTCATCCTACAGTAGATAGAGAAGAATCTCCTACTATAGAAGATAGAGATCTCCTACTATAGTAAATAGAGAAGGATCTCCTACTATAGTAGATAGAGATCTTATACTATAGTAGATAGATATCTCATCCTACAGTAGATAGAGATCTCAGCCTACGGTGGGTAGAGAAGGATATCCTACTAAAGTAGATAGAGATCTCAGCCTACAGTGGGTAGAGAAGGATCTCCTAATATAGTAGATAGAGATCTCATCTAACAGTAGATAGAGAAGAATCTCCTACTATAGTAGATGGAGATCTCATCCTAAAGTGGGTAGAGAAGGATCTCCTACTATAGTAGATAGAGATATCATCCTACAGTAGGTAGAGAAGGATCTCCAACTATAGTAGATAGAGATATAATCCTACAGTAGGTAGAGAAGGATCTCCTACTATAGTAGATAGAGATCTCATCCTACAGTAGATAGAGAAAAATCTCCTACTAAAGTAGATAAAGATCTCATCCTACAGTGGGTAGAGAAGGATCTCCTACTATAGTAGATAGAGATCTCATCCTACAGTAGATAGAGAAGAATCTCCTACTAAAGTAGATAGAGATCTCATCCTACAGTTGGTAGAGCAGGATCTCCTACTCTAGTAGATAGAGATCTCATCCTACAGTAGGTAGAGAAGGATCTCCTACTATATTACATAAAGATCTCATCCTACAGTAGGTAGAAAAGGATCTCCTACTATAGTAGATAGAGATCTCATCCTACAATAGGTAGAGAAGGATCTCCTACTATAGTAGATAGAGATCTCATCCTACAAT